GGATCTCGCACGGAGAGTAAGCTGAGCGTCCTTTTTCCCTACGTCTCTCTCCTGGAGGCGATCTCCGCAGAGGGACTCATTATTTTCTGTCTTTCTGTCTCCATAGCAGAGAAAAATCTTTGATTTGGACGGGTCCCAAGGCTCCGTTATCCTTTTATCTGACTAGTCCTCGAGAATCCCTCTTAACTATCCTCAACAAGACACTCAGCAGCTCTCAAAAGCCCGGGATGAAAACGTAAGGTTTAGGGCTGTGGATTTTAACGCACTATTCTCTAGTGTATCGATCAAGCATTGTTCTCTAGTGGATCGATCAAGTTGATATATAAACACCCAATACCTCTTTCGGACACTGCGCGTTTCAAAACTAATTTCACTAATCTTGACTTGTATTCTTTGTCGATTAATCTGAACAGGCCGATGATCCGTAATCGATTGAATTGGATTCTAGGCTTATTTCTGCTAGTATCAGTATCACAAACGCAAGAAATTTCCCCTGTGATCCAGTGCAACACGGGGTGGGAGATTACCCCCGCTACTCTGATAGGAGTTTTTCCAAACGGTGAACTTAATGGCGCCCTGGTGCCTGCAAGTAATTCTTCTTCCAATACTGTTTTTTATGTGGATGGATGGAATATCTTCAATGAGCGAGTTCAACTGAATGGAATATCCACTGTGGGAGGACAACCGACACCGAACGATAATAACTTGCCGCCAAATGTCCCGTGCGCGAGTGACAATTGCACCCTTAACAGAGGAACATTCGACGTTAGCTTCAGCGATATCACGCCTCCGCCCGGAAGCGGGGTGACACAATATCTCGTACTGTCTTCGGGAGGCTTGAATTCTGACAGCTATAGCATAATCCGTGGACCTTATATGATCAGCAACCAATCAGTGAGCATGCCTGTCGGTAGTGAAGTTAGCTTCGATTGGCGTGCTAATGCAGGGGAGGATGCTTTTGACGTCTATGCCTACTTGCTCCGGACAGATTCAGCGGGTGCGGGTCAGACCATTGAGATTTTAAATGAGTGGGGGCAGAATGGAGCATGGGAGACCAGACGAATCACCATAAGTGTTGCCGGGGACTATAGATTTGTGTTTATTTCGGGCTCCTATGACGAAACCGGTGGTAGAGCTCTCGGTGCTAGACTCGAAATCACAAATGTTCAGGTTTTTGGAACGCTCGGTATCACATCTGCGGACGACTGCGCTCTTGCTTGTGCTGAAGAAATTCCGTCGACCAAGTACATAAACTACAATGACACAAGTAATCAATGTGCTTGCGCATCTTCTTCGGATAGCTACAGTATTGGGAGAAAAGATGCCTATGCATTGCATCCATATACATGTCCGGATGTCCCTCTGGTTCCTTGTTGTATCGACCTTGTTTGCAGTGATGCAGAAACAATGCCAAGCGGACCTGTCACAAGTCTCCAGGAATGTGTTAACCAGTGTAGTTTGAACAGTGCCCTGAATCTCTATGTCCGCTACGTGAGTTCTACACAAGAATGCTACTGTCAAACGAGCTGTACCGGATCTACTCTTTCTAAGGGAAGTATCGCTGCAGCATTCCGAGCGGGTTCTTGTGATATTTTCCGTAAGTGCTACACCGCGATTGTGCCCTGTTACATGAGTTAAGAACCAACTTTCATTCATTCATTCCATCCTCTTGATCACTATTTAAGCTTCTACGGTGACGCCTATATCCGAAGGCCAAGACGTCGCCGTTCCTATCCTGGACGCGTCCACCAACA